GGTGTGGAAATCGCAGGGTATAGTATGGCATGGGATACGCTAAGTGGGGCTGTGTAAATCTTAGGGTGGCATGGAATTGGATACACGGTATAGTGGGGGTGTAGAAATTGCAGTGTGGTATGGTATGAAATACACAACGTAGTGGGGCATGGAGATTGCAGAGTAGCAAGGCATGGAAATATCAAAATATCACGGTAGTGAGGTACAGAAGTCACGGGGGCAGCAGGGTATAAATATCTCAAGGCGGAACGGTATGGGATATGCACGGGATATGCAGTGTAGTTGGGCACAGAAAGTGCAGTGGCTTTTTTTAGGGGGGGGGGTCTTTTTACAAATTCAGCACGGTGTCTACGTGCTCGGGTGTGCTTGTGTGGAGATACCTTTTATGTTGAATGTTTCGTTTGCTTGGTACATATAATGTATTTCCTACAGATTTACATAATGTACAGTGATACAATTTGTTAAAAGGAAAAAGAAAAAAAAAGATCAATAAAGTTTTTTGAGTCGGCCCCTATTTGGCGGGTCGGTAAAACAAACAAACAATATTTTTTATGGCCCCGTCAATTAGCCTTTAAGTCGATCCTCATCGCCAGTCCTTCCCTAATTGATTTTCGCATGCTTACCTGCACGAGAAAGAGCGCCTGCACGAGAAGGCTGAAGAGAATGTCGGCTATGAGGCGGCTAACGCTGGGCATCAGCTGCGGCTTGCCCCGCGTTTTCTTGTAGGCGGCGTCCGCGATGTCCTGCAACACGACGCGGCGTCGATGAGACGCGCGCTCGGGAATGCGCCGCACGCGCGCGCTCTCGCTGTGGTCGCCACGACGCCGACCGCAGCTCTTCCAGTCAGTTAAGTTAGTTAAATCCTTCCCGCGCCTATGTGGCGCATAGGGCGGTGCCTATCTCCGTTTCAGTAACCCTGAGACCCCACAGCTGCTTTCACAGTAAATGCTACAGTAGGGGGTTAGTCCACTGGTAGCACTGCGAGTCAACTTGAAGTTAACGCTGAAGGGTTCGTTGTCGTATCAGGTACTACAGATATGTACCCGAGATACATATATGTATACACAGTGTACCAGACTTGTACTACAGAAGTGTACCCTAACCCTAACACTAACCCTAAACCTAACCTTATCCCTAACCCTAACCCTAACTCTAAACATACCTCATATAAAAATATAAACATAATACTAACCAACCTAAAACTACCTCGGGTACATATCAGTAGTACCTGATATGACAATGACCCCCATCTGTGTCAGTTAAGTTAGTTAAATCCTTCCCGTGCCTATCACCGTTGCAGTAACCCTGAGGTTACCCCGCAGCTGCTTTCACAGTAAACGCTACAGTAGGGGGTTAGTCCACTGGTAGCACTGCGAGTTAACTTGCCACACTCTATCTCTATTTGCTGAATGCTAAGCAGAGAAGCCGTGTGTACCATTTTTCAAGTCTTTGGTATGACCCGGCCGGGAGTTGAATCCCCGACCTTCCACCATGCGAGGCGAGCACTCTACCATTGAGCCATCGCTATGGTATTTCTCCATTTCTTCCAGTCAGGAGGGCAGAAACAATTTACGATGCAGCCGCGTTTGCGCAGGCTGCGCCTTTTCACGCGGCCGATCGGCCCAAGCCCCATAAACGGCCCCGTCTCCGGTGTCCACAGCGCTTTTTTTCCAACCCCGTCAAATTTTGAGATTCCGAGAATCAAAAACAAAAATCAGCCCCGTCTAGAGAAAATCAGCCCCGTCTAGAGAAAATCAGCCCCGTCTAGAGAAAATCAGCCCCGTCTAGAGAAAATCAGCCCCGTCTAGAGAAAATCAGCCCCATTGAGTAAATGACAGGGCCTTTTTTTAGGCCCCGTTTTTTTCTCAGATGGCGAAGCCTGGTTTGTGGTGTCGCGATGGCGATAGGGGCGAGCGTGCGTGGACACCCGAAGCGAACGCGTAATCTCAAGAGTTACGGAGCAGTAAGACGCCCGGTCTCGTACCTGAAACCAGAGGCTATTGACGATCTTGCTCAGTAGGAATAATGGAAGCACCCACAGAGCGCTGAATGTGTAGGACAGAGACGGCGCGACGTACGACCACACGGTGCTGTGCAGTGCAGCCTCACCTGCGAAGGAACAGTCGAAAGTCACCCATATAGATCGAGTTGACCATAGCAGTGTTTCCTCTAGCCAAAAAGGTCTGTGAGGTGGTAAATTTTGTTTGGTGTGTTTGCGCATTTCGAGGTCCTAGCAAAGCGAGCACTGCAGGTAGCATCATTGTTAGTCGTAAATTTAAAAAAAAAGATGCAATTTGGTGCATTCTAAGCTATTCTGAACGATTTTCGTCAGCGAGGCGGTGTTTTGGACAAATTTCTGTGTGGCGGCCGAGAATTTGAGAGAGGCGGGCCGCCTCGCTCGTGTCAATGCAGGAGAAACACTGCCATAGTACCTTTACTGTGTGTGATATTACACTATGAATTGATTCGATATGCGTGAACACCCTGCTTTCTAGTCCACTCAGGCAATAAACCATAACTTATGACAGCACTGATAATAGATATCTCACATGGACAACCATATAACACCGACGGCTATCGAATTGATGTACTTACTGAGAAAGAAATGCGTGACGAAGTGTAGAAACGGAAGCACCAGTTTGTAGAAAATTACTATACTCAGCTGTAAAGGCAAAAATAAATCACCATCAAGCAATAGAAAATTAAATCTACTGCCATATAGCAGTGACACAAGCATGCATATATACGATTATCATTTATTAACAATTACGAAATTCACACACACGCAAACATATATATATATCGAGGTTAAACAAATGGTTATATAAATTTTAATAGACCATTTATCAAAATGCAAAGTATAAATTGCTTAACTTACCCAAAACACCCCTCCGTTCAGTGCACAGCACTGAATGATTCTATGGAAAAGCTTTGGAGGACTACAAGATACAAAAGAAAACAAAAACAAAAATTCATCAAAAACCATGCTCAAAGATCGCAAATACATTTTGAAAACTATGCAAGTCAGTTTAACAATTATACTGGAACCAAACAATCATTGAGCAACAAGCACCACCCGTACTTGCTCTTTGGTGTTGCTGATGTTGTTTTCTCGCTCTCAGCCTTGGCAGCCTCTCTTCTCCGTGCCAGCACGCTCGTGGCTTCCTTCTTCACCTCCACCTCTTCAATCTGTGTGTCATACAGCTTGTGGAGCACGCCCATGCCTAAGATGGCGTCGCGCATGCCGCGAACGACCCCACGAAGCACCGCTCGCAAAGCGTCCGCCATTTATCTGCCCGGTGGTGATGCAGCGCACATGTGAAGTCGTGTAGAAATCGTAGCATGGATGTCGTCTGCCGGGAGAGAGCAATGTTCCCTAAATTTCATTCTATAGTTTGCAGTGAATACAATTTTGGCTTGTGAATAGCGTTAACGTAACTAGTAGTACGTACCGCGTACGTCGTCATAGAAAAATACTAAGCCTAATCATCACCACTAGTTGACAATTGTGCTTTTAGTTTTACAGAGTAGTGCATGAGTAGGGCCTACTGCGCTTCGTAATTGTAGTTTAAATTATTAATTTATTATTATTATTGATTTATTTCAATTTTATCATGCCCTCAATCATCAGCTGTCTGCAGACCTAGCAAGCCCTAAACTCAGTAACTGAGTAGCTCTAGAGTAGAGCTATCCTATGAGTATGACCGAGACGTTTCAGTTCATTGACATTGGTGCCGATGACATAGATTTTAAGTAACTTAGCATAAAATCTTATCTTACCAATTTGCGTTAGACGTAAAACTATCACTATGAGGGGATAAACATACTAAAAAAATAATAAGCACGTTCCAACGTCATCAAAACAAAAACACAGCTGTTGTTGTGAATCCGCCTAATAAACAAGTGGCTGTAAGTCACGTAGTCAGCGACATCTCTCGGACATAAATAGAAATGAAACTGAATGTGTTCCACATGTTGTCGCTTGTTGTTTGTCGATGTTTTGCGAAATACATGCAACATGGCTGCGCCCATACCTATTATAAACAACTGGGATAATCTGTGAAAAGTTGCCAAGCACAGCCATTGGGTAAGTCAAATTCATCAGTGCGGTTTGTTAGTTATATTTCGACGTAATAATTTATCTATATTAGCCTGAATAAAATGGAAAACGATGGTTGAGAGGTCTTTAACTGCAAGCGCAAAAATTCACGTTGTTTCAAACGATGTTTGAAAACCCTCGCCTCAGTGTGAGATAGTGCAGTAAATTACAGTTCCCGTATGAGCTTCTACGCGTTCACTGCACTGAATAACTATTACATGCACATAAGGTTGCGTTTTAAGATTACCCTATAGGGTTGGATTATGGATAGATTGAGGTTTTTGATTTGGAGTATGTATAAATTTAAATTGACTTTGACTTTGAAAACAAACTGCACACAACATCATTATGATTATTAACGACCACACTGCCCACAGTGACGCTCATACTCATAGGGACTATGTCCCTCAGGGTACTGCCGGAACGTACCCTGGGTACGGTCCGGTATACCGGAACGTACCCTGGGTACGGTCCGGTATACCGGAACGTACCCTGGTGACTGGTCACTATTTGATATGGTTAGGGTTAGCATTAGGGTTAGGGTTAGAATTAGGGATAAGGTTAGTGTTAGCGTTAGTGGAGTAGGCGAGGTACGGTCCGGCATATTAGATAGTACCAGGGTACGTTCCGGTGTACCGGACTGTATCCAGGGTACCTTCCGGCAGTACCCCGGGGGACATAGACCCTCTCAGCCACAGTGACAATGTCAATAAATTGTGCTTGTCGTACCTTTGTGTGTTTATCCTTGTTATAGTCGTCTAGCTTTATTTGTGTACACATTTTTGGAAATTTACGTGTCGATTATCATCTAAATTTAAAAAAAATCAAATCACATTCAGTGCAGCGGAGGAGTCACGATTTTTAATCTCAATAACGATAGGTACCTACCTACCTTTGGCGAGCCTAGCCGCTAAAGTTGTATCTCGTATCTTCTAGTGGCTTCTAGAAGATTCTCTAAGATTATAGCATGTATTTTAAGAACGGAATTGCCATCCCCAAAAGGTATACGGTACTATACCTGCTGTGTTTCTCGTCTGCTAGTGGTGTGTAGGTTCATGGAGAAGATGATGTCGGCGCTTCACCCGGAGATGGCCCGCTTGGAGGGAGACTCGGTCGACGGACCGGGAGGCCTAGCCGCCGACTTTGACGGTTCGTTCTCGGGCCTCGGCGTTGAGCTTGGCTCATCAACGTATAACATGAGGTGAGCAGCGTCAGTTGCGGCTCTGCAGGTTAGGTGTCAATATGGCGGCGCCGAGTCTATCGACTCGCAGCTAGGGCCTGCATACCTCCCAAATCCCATTAGTTGATACAAATCACGTGCCTGAAACTCCTGTTTTAATAAAACTTTTATGGTGCATTGTGACCCTAACCCTACAGGGGTCGAAATTAGATTTCTATTATGGTATCCATTCGGGATACCAGGTATTGAAATCTGGTATCCCCCCCCCCAAAGATCTGGTATTCCATTTTTTGGATAGTAATTTCAACAATGTTGATACGTATCCAAAATCTTGAAATATGCAATAATAGCATTTGAAAATTATTAATATGAAATGTAATTATTATATAAAAACATGAAAACAGATTCACAGATATGCACAGACAAGTACACTGCAAACGTATTGTCTAGACGCATTGTCTGGTTCGCTTGATACAATGTATACACATCACATTTATGATCAACATAGGCCACGCTTACGTTTGCGCTTGCAAATATGCTCAATAACCACTATCCTGATATTGACGATTTTTTTTTACTATTCCGGCGGGATATCAAGCATTGAAATCTGGTATCCAACACAAGAATCTACTATTCCGCGGATATCGGGATACCGCTAATTTCGACCTCTGCCCTAACCCTAATCCTAACCCTAACCCTAACCCTAACCCTAATTAAAATTTAAATAAAAAATTAACTAGATTTGTATCAACCAATGGCCATTTGGGAGGTATGCAGGCCCTAGCTGCGAGTAGTCTATCGCAGCCGGTATTATTACCATTATTATCAGGAGTGTATCAATATTGATACACTCCTGTTATTATTATTAAATCTTTATTGCATGTAACTCAAATACAAATACATGCATGTACTGAATGCCATATATATATATACGTCTTGCGTGATGACCGCCTCGTGTTTGATTATTGCGTTAATTCTGCGTGTTCTCGTGTTTTTCAGCGAGGCACTTCTCGCATTGCCCGTCTTCAAGTACGAGAAGCTTGAACATGGGTGAGCTGTGTGTTAGAGTCAGCATGTAGGCTGTTAGGAATGTGGTTAGCTGAGTAGAGCTGTCTGCCCAAATTAAATAACGCGCCAGGCTACGTGAGAACTAATATAGTATCGGAAGCCATCGTTTCACTTGGCATACGAGAAAATGACTATTCGCTGTGATTCAACGATTTGTTACTTAGTTGTACAGCGATCAAAATGATCTCACTTACCATGGTAGCAGAAATGTGTGCAACTAGTATGCAAGTGTTTTTTAGTAACCTTGAAATATTCCAGCTGGATTTGATATTAATATTATTGCCGGTTTTTAAATTTTGTATTTAGTGTCTATAATGAATCGGTATCATGTTTTACAGATTTCAGTATGTGCTGGGAGCTGCCACATCACCCGCTACAAGAATGAATGAGGAGACACTTACATACTTAAATCAGGGTATGACTTACAATGCAAAGACAAACCAGTGTACAAGATTTTAATCATGTGGAAGTTCATATATAGTCATGCCTGACTAGACAAGCGTGTGACATTAAAGAGTGGATAGAGAATTAGAAGGTGTTAATATTGTTATGTAACAAAACGTTTGTTATAATTGAATGCGAATTTGTTTCTTAGGACAGTCCTATGAAATCAAGTTGAAGAAACTCAGTGACCTTGGCAGCATGAAGGGGAAACAGCTGAAGGTAATTTGCTAGTTAGTGGTTGATCAGTTATCATGCACCTTCCTAGTTCATCTCAACTATGCAATGTTTCCTTCACTCCTCTTTCCTTACTAATTTCCCTTCTCCTCTCCTTTCTCTGCCCCATCCTCCCACTTCTTCCACCCTTTCCTTCACACAACCTTCCTCACAAATCTGTATTTTTTCCTCCTTCTGCTTTCTGCTCCCCTCTTTCTCTTACTCTTTATAATGCTCCTCTGTCTCCTATTTTTATTTCCGTCCCCATCATCTCCTCTGCCTCTTCCTCTTCCTTCTCTCCTCCTCCTCTTTCTCATTCACCTTCCTTGTTATTATTTTTCTTCTTCATGATTCTTTCCTTCGTCCCCATGCTCCACACTTCCACCTCATCAATTGGCACTAGTGATATCCTTCCCGATGATCGATTATAATCAAAAGTCAGTCGTTTGCAGCAACCGACTAAGCGCTCGATTGTGAAAATAAAAAATCGATTATC